GCTCTAAATTATTTTTATTTAATACTGAATTGTTTTTCTTACAGTTTTTTGGTTCAGAGCATACTTAAATTTTATTAGCTTTTATAATTCAAGTATTTAATTACAACAAATAAATTTTCATTTTCAACGTAAATTAAAATTAAAAAATCAAGCTCAGACTTCAAAGAATGAAAAAAAATAAAAGTGGGAAAAATGGGCTTTTTGATACTCCTACTTTGCTGGTAAAAAACCAATTAATCTAAAATAAAGTTTTTGTTGTTTAGCAATTTATTTTGTAAAAGAGATAAAAAAAATCATAATTTCTTGCTCAAAGGCGTTTTCTTTGTTATTTTTATCGTGCATTTGTAGTAAATGCTGTGAAGTTATGTAGTTTCCTGATCTATTCTGCTCCTCACTGATCAACATAGAGTTCTTAACGAAGTTGTTGTTATTGTCGTTCTTAAACCCGAATATATATTTTTTGCCTAATGAAGTAAACAGATAGAATTTACTCAACCTAGACAAATAATTTTAGCAAATAATTAGTTGCAATTATGCAAATAATCAGTTAATTTGAGCAACCAATGTCGACCTGTCTGTCTAGTTGCACGCGACATCTGTGGGTCTAATTGATTCTTGCTGAAAAACATAGCGCCTCTTGAAAAATCTGAGGATTCTTTGTTATAGACAACGAGAATTGTTGTTACCAAAAATTATTTGTCCTGAATCTCTGGTCTTCTTCAGCAAATTTCGTTACCTTTTTTTTCAGACTTTATTTGATAGTACTGATGCCTTTAGTGGTATTCTGCTAACAACTGTCTAAACACTCAGCTTAAAAAAACGACTCAATTAACCATCAACAAGAATTATAGAAATTTTAAAAAAAAAGAAGGAGAAGGAAGAACAATATCTAAACAATTTACAGTCTAATTCAGAGATTGGGAAGAAGAAGTTCTAATGCTCAGAAAAGTATCTGGATTTGTCTTTTTTTCCTTTTTAAATTCACTAGAAATCAACCTCATCTTATATAAAATAATTTAGGCACTTAATTTAAAAAC